CGCCCCTAGATGCACTCGAGCGCCCCCGCACCGCACCGCCCCCGCCCCCGCCTCCGCCCCGCCTCGCATTTCGCGCCGGGTCAGACACACTACATGCTGCTCAGCTCATCCCAAGGAATGACTATGAAGTGTGTCCGTCATTTTAAAACCACAGTCTTTTATAAGCTCATTTCGTTACTTACATTACATAGAGATAATAATTTTTTGTTGTTGCAATTTTTGTCTGATTGTCCGGGATAATAACCGGAAAGGTTAAGCCGATTCCGTTGCGATTTTCACTGAAATAGTATTTTGTCGAGCATAATTCAGGCTACCCGATTAAGTTCAGTATTGACATATTTGTTGTTTTTTTATTTACAAATCTAATTTTATTGTTACCTATTTGAATTTTTTTATAATTCACCTTCAACACAAGAAAAAACTGTCTACATTACATTTCATAAAAACTAACACAAAATCCCATTTCCACCGCTTAAGGCAGAATTGAAGTACACACTCTTATACTGTTTCGCAGACAGTTGTAGCTACACTCGTATTGCGACTCCCTCCAAGTAATGGAGGACGCAACATAAAAAAATCGAAACGTTTTTATGTACGCGAATGCTAAACTTTATCTGAGAATGTAATATTATTTTTATCTTGACAAAGTGTTCAAGTTTAGTACACACTCACAAAGCGTAAGTGATCCAGTTTACAGATTAGACACCGAAGACAATTTTGGAAAGGTAGAGTAGATCTGTTATTATACATACGTGTTATCAGATTAAAATTTAATTTCAAAATTGTAATACAGCACTTATTGTATCAAGTTCTTTTTTTTCGATATACGTCAGAAATGAAATCCTTACGTGTGAAGAAATCATTACTAAATAATATTTTATTAGAAGCATATGGCATTTAATTATTTTTTTTCACTAAATATATTCTTTTCTATAGAATGTTACATTTTATGAATTTTCTCAATCTCCGAAACAAATGTAAGTTTTAAATAACCATATCCAGGAACAACTCGTTACATAGTCGTGGATATGCATCCAGATCGCAAATTAATTAATTAATATAACTTTAACAATGACGCTCCGCCATTACGTAATCTGAATGTTTCGTAGATAGATAGATCCACCGTGCTCCATCACAAAGCGTCAATATTTTCTACAAAATTTTTATTTTCTCGCCTGTGTACTTTCGCTTTTGGGTTGTAGAAAAAGAGAAAAATTCACATAGTGCATTTCAACGTACTATGTCTATCACCAAGAGAAAGTTAGGCCCAGCGGAGCGTCGGAGATAATAGAAAAGAATGGAGGGAGAAGTGAGGGGAGAGAGGAGGGACAGATAGATATGGGAAAGAGGGTGAGGTAGGGAGAGCGTGAGAGAGGAAGGGAGAGCGTGAGAGAGGAAGGGAGAGCGTGAGAGAGGAAGGGAGA